ATGGGGTACTGGGAATGAAAAAGCGATCAAAGTAGAACAAACAAGTGCATGTTGTTGCAGTTACTGCAAAAGCTGATCCCTGGGCTGTCCCCAGGGCCGGGACGGCTCGAGCCGAGCCTTATGTGTGTGCTACCAGTGGAAACCCGAAATCCCGAACCCTGTGCAGCGCAAGACCACAAGCACGGCAGTCCTGGCCATCCGCAGGGAACACCTCCCGGCAAAGGAAACAGCTGCCGGAACTCTCGGGTTTTCGTCAGGGATTTTAAGGTTTCAGGATCCGGGCTCAGCGGCTTGAAGAAGTTTAGGGTGCTCCAACGGCAGTCCTTCCACCAACCCGAAGTCCTCAGCCTCTGGAAACCCCGAAATGCCCCAAGCGACAGAAGCCGCGAGGCACCCGCTCAATCAGAAAAGGTCGCCGCTCCAAGGCGATGCAGATGAGGCCCGCCATGGCCTCAGGGAGGCTCCAGAGGCAGCTCAACGCTTCCGCAGCTTCCGTTTCCGGGGGTTTGGAAGGCTTGCCAGTTTGGGGGGCTTGGGGGGTTCGGAATTTGGGGGGTTTGGGGGGTTGTGGTACCAGGCTTCGCTTGCTTGATGCTCGGGTATACGGCTGTGGCCATTCTCTCAAAACATCCCAGTACTCATGGAAAACAACAAGCGCACTATCGCCCTGATGGCTTCAGGGTCCAGCCTCATCCTCAAGACTATCCAGCTGATCGAGGATGTCCTTGGAAGCCGGCATGTCCAGTGACTCCAGTGGCAACAACCAGAATATCAGGATATGACGCTGAACAGGAAGAACATGGGAAACAGAAGCCGTGAAAAAAAAAAACAAAGATCCCAACAAGCACTTAGTTAGAAAGGAACGGCCACGCACCGTCATCTCCAATACAATCGCAAGATATCGCAAGTGGGTCCAAAGCAAACCCTTACAAAAAACACAGCTTGAAACAGCCGATGGCTTGGCCTCCAGAGGCGTCCTCTGAGACCTCTCCAGTTCGCAAAAACGGAGAAAATCTCGAAGAAACATCACAGGCACAGGTGTCTTGCAAATCTCCGGGGTTTCAAAACCCTACACCAAGCGGGCCTCTCTGAACCCAGACTGTTCTCTGCCAGCAGGGCCGCCGTCTCCTTGATGCAGCGTAGCTTACGAACCCTAACAGCAAAGCCTATAACTTAGTCCCATCATAGGTGCCTTCTCTGAGTAGAATCGCATGCCTTACAAAGAGGTCCAGAGCAGGTTTTGAGGTTGAAGCTGAGTGCTCACGTGCGACACGACCTTCTAACATTGCCTTGCTTCACATCCTGCCCCTGAGCCGCCCTGCAGGGAAGCTCAGATGTGCTGCGCTCGGTTCCCCCTCTTCCGCGCTACGCTGCAAAACACGTTGATACCAGAAGATCCCGCCGCCCTAGACTTCTTCTAGGAACATGTTATGCCCTGGAAAATCTGGAAACCTGAGGAACCCTGAAACCCCCAAAACCGGCTATAAACCATGAACATCCATGAACCCTAACATCCTAAATATTCTAACACCTATGCGGCCTATGCGCTTTAGACCTGTGAACGCCAGCTGACCCCTCAACCCCTAAACCCCTAAATGCCATTCCTCAGTCCAAGCAAATGTTTGCACCCGACTGCCTCGAACTCCTCCCCCAAGGGCCCGGCTGGAACGAACCCAGGTGCCTGCTGTTCTCTGGGGGTTGTTTTGGGGCAAAGGGGGCTCCTGGAGTGAAGGCTTCGGGGCTTCGGGGCTTTAGGGTTTGGAGTCTGGTTTGCCTGTGTGGAGATGATGTGATGGACATGTTGGATGCTGGCCGGCCCTTCGGAAAACGGGTGGTGTGAAGAGAATCCATATTCACCACTTGGGGATGCGAGACGAGCGACAGCAGCAGCCACGCAAACAAGTGGGGGAGGGAGGCAACGGAAACCAAAGAAGGGTGTAACGGAGGATAGGCCGCAAACCGTATCGGAAACCGAAACCATCCCCGACGAGATGGAAACCAGACGCGGGCGTAACGGGAACCAGGGAAGCCTGGAACGGAAACCAACACAAGCGTCGTAACGGAGACCTCGTAACGGAGACCTCCAATCCCTGAAGCCCCACCTCTGAAGCCTGAACCCTGAACCCTTGACGGAAACCCTGAACACTAAACCTCAAGCCTAAAGCCCCAAGCCTAGTTATGTTGCACCCTGGCAAGCAATCCTCTTGGTTTCGGTCACGGGCTCAGGTTGGTTTGCGTTACGGTTCCTAGAAGTTTCCCTTACGGTCTTTCTCCCATGGTTTCCATAATACCCCGCTGGTTTCCGTTATGGCGTTTGCTCCATTCTCTGCAGCCAACGGCTCCAAAGCTGAGCCAAGGCTAACACCGCAATCCAAGCAAATCCAAGCCCTGCCTGATGCGGAGGTACGGCAGGCTCCGCCCCTTTCCTGTGCCATGTTCCGGCTTGAGTACAGGGTTGAGGACCGGGTTGAAGCTTTACGAACTTGAAACTTAAATCCTATGTCGGGAATGACGGCAGGTCTTCCCAGACTTTCCAGACTTTCAGGAGAAAGGACAAGTTATCAGCAATCTGCAGGATGAGCACTCGAACACAAGACCTGGAGTTACCTCGGGAGCAACTTGGGAGAACCCTTCAGACCTTCGGAAGACGTCTGCCGGTGAGGCCAATGCGGTCCCGCCTCCGCTTCAAACAAATGTCTAGCTGCGTCTTCTCCTTCAGCTCCTGGTGTGACTATCGTGATGATTGATTACAAACTTCAGGGCTTTAAGGGTCGGTTAAGTCAGTTCTGGTTTTTTTGCGGGTCCCACAAGGTTTATATGCTGCTGCATATGCTATGCGTTATGCTATGCGTTATGCTGAGTATTCTTTTGACCTCAGGTCCTCGATCATGGCCACGGGATTGCTGGACACCTGATTCACCTCCCAGTGCATCGGTGCGTAAACGCTTCCCCTATGACCCCCACGGCATTCTCAAATGTCATGAATGTCATGCCGCTGGGCACCTGAAAGATGAAGTCGCCTACGCAGATGCGGTTCGGCATATCCTGCTTCTCGTTCCACGCGGCGACAAGCCCGCCCTCGCAGAGCTCTAAGCTGAGGTGTTTTTAGGGCGTACAGGGCTTGAAGGCTCTAGGCTCTAGGGTTTGAGTGAGTTCACAGCTCTCCTGCCTCAAAGACGTTTGCGACAAACACGCCGTCCCTGCAAGAAGCTCAGCTTTTTGTGGTTCACTGTGAGAGTTTTTTCGAAGTAAGCTTCCGGCTTACTCCAGGACCTGTAGGTAACATCGAGACCCAGAGAAGCCGCTGGCTTCTTGCTGATGGCCTCAGGTGATACTTTTGCGAAATATTGGCCTCGGCCCTCGGCCGTGTGGCGTCACACACCCCCAACCCCCCACCACTCCCACCCCCGACCCCTCAAACCCTAAACCGTTGCGCTGGTGAGGTCAACTCAGGGCCTCGTCTTGGCCTTGGCCTGTTTGCGTTTTCTTGGGAGCTTGCCTATTGGGACACTGTATTCACCTGCTGCACACCAACGCTCCGAACATCCATGTTCGATCAACCATCAACAATGCTGCGCAGGCTTTGGCTTGTTCGCTGCTCCCCTGCTGAGTCTGGAAACAGACTCTTGAAGCCCTGCGACCTTAAACCCGAAAAGCCTGTGCACGCTGGGCCCGGCGCCGAGGACGCGCAGCGTTTAAAATAACGAGAGCCAAACGCAAGCTGTGAGTCACCCGGATGCAAGTCGAGGCTTCTAAGAACTTCACAGCAGTGAAGCGATACCAGCTCTCGGCATCATCGTCACACATGACCTGCTCCGGCACTTTGAACTCCAGGGGACTAGCACTTTGAGGCCACAGAATCTGAGGGGGAGCCCTTCGGCATCCCTCTTATGGGCATCCCCGCTCTCAGTCTCAGTGCCAGGCTCACGCGCGGTCCACACCGCAGCCACGTCATGCGATGAGAAAAACTTGCTGCTGTGTCTTGGGTATGGTTGCCAACGTCCTCAGGTTGGGCCACCTAGGTGTGCCATATTCTTACCAAAAAGTTGAACACCGGAGTGATACTTTCCGTGCTCGCTATCTGTTGCAGAGGTTCCAAATCTAAAACGCCGAGCCCGGGTGCCTTGGTGCGAAGCTATGCTACACCTGAGTCTGACAACTTTTGTTTTAAACATGTTTGAACCCTTTGAACCCAGGTCTTTGTTGCACCCTCTGCACACCAACACCGCCCTGCAAGATCGGCGACGCGACGACGGCGACACAATTGAACAGCACTTACAGCACATTCATCTCCGTGTGCTCTCCAGACACCGCAAGTCAGACTAGTCTGACTCCGCAGCAAGCTAAATCGCAGAGCAGCGCACGCACGGTGACTCGTGGCAGCTTTGCTTGCTTGGTTGACTAGACTGCCTATTCCTGTACAACCATGCACGTCCAGAAAACGTCTGCACTTTTTTTCTTTTTCTCTGGCGTCACACTGGTCCTGGCCAGTTCGCATAAAAACCTCTGCAGCTCCGCCAACACTTCCTGGGCCGACGCATGCTGCCAAGACTGCACGCAGGCAGTGATTGCAGAGACATACGCCACGTGATGCTCCAACTCCTTCTGCCGCTGCGAAGAAAGCATATCCAAGGCTACAGACCATTGTGATCCCCGGGCGCAGGCAGCAATTGCGGCACAGCATGTGATCAGATTCTCATGAAGCCGCACTGCTCGGAGCTCTGCCACAAGACCCAACGCAAGATCCCAGCGCCCGGACTTCTCACAGGCGCTGATGGCCGCATTGTAGGACACGAGGCTCTTTTGAAGCTGCGCCTGCTCGAGGTCGTGCAGAAGTTGAAGAGCCCCTCGCCAGTTGCCACCTTTCTCGCAGGCACTGATGGCCGAGTTGTACATGACCAGATTCAACCGCAAGTGCCGACCATGGCATTCCGCAAGAAGTGCCACAGCCTCCTGCCACTGCCTGGACAAGGAGTTCCGAAAGCAGTATTGAGAATCTGTCAGGCCAATGTAGGTACAAAAAGCTGCTTCTTTGCGAGTTTATCGGCCTTGCTGTCTCCAGCGCGCCCACAGCTGCCCCATACGAAACAGCAGTCCTCACCAAAGGCAAACTCCACAGATCTCCACATGTCAAGTTTGATACTCCACATGCCAAGCCGATTTCTGGACTTGCGCCTTGCCATTGGGGGTATGCCCGTGAAGAGCACAAGGGCTTTGTGCCACTGATCGCCGGAAACACAGGCCGTCATTGCTGCGTTGTAGCCTTAGAGAATCAGCATGCGGACGCTGGGTCTATCCATGGCATATGTGTGACACACACACAGAAACAAAAACGCCCTGGCTGTTGTCGATCCAGTAGCTGATCACGGATGGGCGCAGTCGGACATCGATCATGGCTGCAAAAAGCCGCAGGGCCTTGTGCAGAAACACTTGCCGCATTCACTGCTGTCAATGTAGGCTCATGTTCACCCAGCAGTTATGAGCAGCTACCAGCTACCATCATTGGCTCTTCGCGCGAAAATACACTGCGGATCGCCTGCTCCCACTGGCTGCTCCTCTCACAGGCGCTGATGGCAGCATTGTATGTGATGGTGTTCCTTGGCCAGCCAAATGTTGATCCCAGGTATGTTTAAGGTGGGGTCGGGTCGTTGGGGCTTCACGGTTCTTCCATGTCGACAGAGTCGGCACGTGTCGACACACTCAGCAAAACCGAAGGTTGAGCAAAGCTGCGATCGAAGAGTCCGAATCTGGAGCTCACACAACCTCAGGTTTCAATCAAACTTTCGCCACACTTTCAGCACCTCCAGAACTATGGCATGGAGCCCTTGAAACTTCCCTTCGACGGTGCAACGCTGCCTGCGTGCCGCGGCGCTTCAGAATGGCCTTTTCCCAGGCCGCTTGAGCTGTGCAGGCACTGATGGCAGCACCGGCCGTCACGACCGTGCCTAGTCTCACGGGATGACATGCTGCGACGCTTTTCGAAAGCAGAAGAGCTACGACAGGGCCGACGAGGCACCCTGCAGGCCGCTGACACTCATGAAGGCAAGCAGGTTGATGGCAACCGGCCATTCCTCTGTTGGGTTCTCATGGGTTCTCCCAGCTCCACAGACTGGAACACACATTTTTGTTGCATCACCCCGGCAGCCTCGCCCTTCTCGCTGGCAGTGATCGCGGCATTGTAGCTTACGGTGTCCTTGGGCGTCAGGGTGCATAGGCTACGCGGGGCACTTCAGGCACATGGTGCAAGGGCTTGGGGATCTGATCAGACTCAGAAAAAAGTGCTTCCTTCAGATGCCAATGGCTCAGACACTCAAACTTCTGAGAACAACCCCGGTCTTTCGCCAGCCTTTCGCAAGCATTTCGCAATGCATGGCAGTGATTTTTTGGGCCCTCTGCAATGCTACTTCTCGAAAAACCGTACTACTGTGTGCGGCAGCGGGTCGACCAAACTTTGCGTGCACGCAAGATCGAGGGAGTCGAGGGCCAAGGTCCACTGGCCTGCCAGCGACGACGCTGCAGCATTGAAGGAGATGACGTCCGGTACCAGGGCCAGTTGGGAAATTGTGTGCAGCTGTACGGCAGCTTGCTCCCACATGAGGCACTTCGCGCATGCGCTCAAGGATCCGTTGCAGGTGATAACATCTCTCCGCACCCAGCAACCAGCGACAGTGAAGAGGGCCAGAGCAGTTTTCCAGTTTTTGCCTCACACAGCAGCAAGATGAGATCAGTGGGGACCAGACATACACACAAAAAAGAAAAAGGCTCGGTGCTACAAGCACCTGAAACAAAAGCAAGGATGCCCTTCTCGCATGAGCTGATGGCGGCGTTGATAGGAATTTCGTTGAGCTGCAAGCTTTTTGATTTCATCACCGACAGGAGGGCCAAAGCTTCCTTCCAGCCGGATGCACCAATGGCAACCGTGAAAGTTGCCGCATTCTGCCCCGCACTTGGACACCTGTGCACACGGCTCCTTAAATTTTTACGTGGCACACCACATGATCTTTCAAAGAGGCCTCCTTGTCATCCACTTCCCGGCACACGAGGGCCATGCCGAAAGTTCTTTTCCCGAACAACCGGAAATGCAAGCCAACAGCCTGGTCTTGAGGGACTTCGAGTGACTTCAGACTACGAGCTTGTGGTTGGCTAATCGCCGTTTGTATATCTTTCATGCGCATCGCGTTGGTGAAGTGATGTGGTATGAGGTGCAGCCTATCTCCACCACAGTCTGAGCCTAGACACAGCTCGAGAGGGTAAATGCTGAAACTCTGCGACAGCACATTTTCTAGCAGCTCATTAGCACTGCCTGAGGCAGAAACTCACAGCACGTTCTATTTTCTCTCCCAGCTCCGTAAAGGCTGGCGGCACTTGCTGAACCTTGCCGAGCAGGCTCATCGTCATCGGAAGGTCACGGGTACGGCTAAGGACCGTCGTACAAGAGTCCTGAAGGCCCTGGACCTCATCGAACTCGCTGCGTGTTGCGGTCGCTTTCGCTGACATCTCGATTGGGCAGGTCATGACATTCCACGAAGACTCGTTCTCGAAACCGAGGGATTTGCACGTGTCGGCTTTGTCAGTAGTCCTCTTCCTCGGATGCACACACATGCACACGCAGATGCTGACAGCTGCACGTTTCGCTAATCTGCACTGCACAATGGAGTCTCGGCGAAACGCGTGATCAGCGATCAATCTGGTACGCTACATGCCCATGCTGTGAAAGCGTAGAGTCGATGTCGTCAAGAACGGCCAGGAAGCCTAAGATAAACAGGGACTGGTAGTATGCCAAAGCGGGGGAAGGCGGGCGAAACGGGAAGTTGTATAAAATGCGAAGGACACTTCACAGAAGCCGATCCGAGGATCCGATGACCCAGTTCGGAAGCTCAGACTGTCTCACGGTCACCACCTTCCACCGTGAAAGAACCTCAATCCATTGCTTTCCTACATGATCCACTTCCCCACCAACCTGCCTACATGCGATTCAGATTCGTCTGGTCAGAAACCAATATGATCAGAATCGGGAATAAGGGCTGGTGGAGTCAAGAACGCTTCCGAACGAGTTGGGCATAACAGCAGGTTCAGTCTACAACACAGCAAACCCTAAACAATGACCGTTTGAATTAGAAAAAGCTGCCTCGGCATGCTGTGCGAATCTTTGAACCATTCCACAGTGCGACATGTGCAGACACTCATAGAGATGTTGGGGGGAAGACATCCGAGGCAGCTGCTCTCATGTCCTGACTTGCAGTGCCGATCACAAAGTGCTGCTTCGCTTTAGCCACAAGCTCCCCGTCTGTCGCATTCCTCCCACGAGAGGATATCAGCTGCGTTCGAGGCACATACACACACACACACACACACCATCACTCCATGACAGCAACTCGCAACTGCTTGCAGAAAGAGCGGCTTGAGATGCATCGACCACACTTGCCGGACTCCAGTACCGAACCTGCAATTGGAAAGCTCGAGCCGCGGTACACGCCCGCATCCCACACCCCCGGAACAACCGACACCAAACGCCATGCCCGATGCTACGCCGCTACCTCCAATGCCTACGCCCAACGCTTCACTCTGCTACAGCCAATCCTATGCCCAACGCTACGCCCGAATGCCAAGCCCATACCAGGAGACGAGGAGACTGGTCCGGTGATTTGGCCCCGGAGAGTTGGCGCCAGCCAGCCCTGTGAGCGAAAGCGAAAGCACTGAGAGAACTCTCCGATCAATTAGTTGGCATTTGGCGCATGCCTCTTTTCTCGTTTGCCCAACGCTGCTCCACTCTCTACGCCGTACGCTCGCTGCAAGAATCTGCCAGAAGCGTTGATCCCTCTTAAGCCCGAATGGCGTCGAAGGAAACCTGGAACGTCGGATCCAGGCCGAAGTTGGCCTGTGTGGTCCAAGAACACAGGTGCATTTGGCGAAGCGTTTACTTCAACCAAACTCTGCAGCTTCGCTCATGAGAAGAGCGATGAGTACAAATGAGTACAGGCAACCGCAATCCAGCCTCCGGTATGAGTCTCTCACGAACTTGAGTGGATGCCGTGCGCTCCGCCAGGTTGAAGAGCCTCAAGGCAGAGGTTGTAAACAGCCCACGCCACTGCAATAAACCACACCTTCGAAGCAAAAGCACATGCAATTCAAAATCGAAACGGGCATAACCTTCAAGTGGAGCCCCCCTGCGCCTGCTGCAATTGACGAAGCATCTCCAATACGATTCTTTCCTTTGCTGTGTGGTGCACATTGCTGGAAGGCCGTCCAAAAATCTGCAAACTCATGCCAAGCTTTCGGCCACCACACTTCTTTGAGTTCGTAAAGCAAGGATGTTCTTCCAACTCCTCCCACATCCTAGGAGAACAGTCACAAGAAACAGACTGCTGACATGATTGGATTTTCATGTCGCCATGTCTATAATGCTGGGGCTGCTGCACAGCGCTGGAGGTTGTACTCGATGATTGGCTTGAAGCGCGACAGGAAGGACGCATAGCGTGCCTACGAACGCTCGAACATAGACTTCCAAATTCCAAAGACAAACATCACTTGCAGCGTGCTGCCTAAACGACGCCCAATCCGCCAAAACAAACTCGCAGCAGTACTTGCTTCTTGCTCGTCGCGACTGCCGTCAACCTGGTGCCTCGAACCAAATCCGGCCATTCGCATCTGAGAATCCGAAGCGCATGATGATGAACAGATTGATGTCCTTTGTCGTTACTGAAGAACTCACTACATGTGTAGTGTCTGAGCAGCACTGAGGATACACTTTCTGCAAGGCAAGCTGCGTAGAAATATCCGATGTGTGCATGGGTCGCATCGTAAACGTCAACCAACTTGGTAAACTGGATGAGCAAGTATTTCCTCTCAACTAATGTTATGTTTGCCGGCATCAGCTGGCCATCGAAAGGCGGCCGGATATTCTGCAAGACATCTGGATCGCAGTACAAATTCCTCGTGACACCAATCCTCAAATGCTCCGTAATGCTCCAATATCCATCAACACACATGCTCGTCGAGAACATGTGGACATTGCCGCTTTTGAGGCAGCCACCAGAACGCAACAGTGAACAGACAGAAGAAGGCAGTCAATCGCCTGATCCGCATTCAGGGCGTAGGGCTTTGACGGAATGTCTTGTAGCGTGCCAGTAGCTGGTACTTTGCTCTCCGCTAAGACCAAGGCACCCACAGCCATCCCAACGGCCGCCGGAACGGAGATGGCAGCACAACCACAGAGCTGCATAGCATGAACTTCGGTCCCTGCCGACCTGGGGCCAAAGATCCTATGCAGAGCTCAAGAACATGAGAACACAGGGAACGCCTCCTCACGCTCCAACAAAGACTCGTCCATGTGGGCCGCAGGAGAACCATGGCTCTGCCAGGCAGTTTTACTTTCCACTGCTATTGACACACAGAAGATTGTCGGTGGTGAGGTGTAGATGCGGTGGAACTGCTTCGTTCGAAGCTACTCGCTCGCAAAACAAGAGCCAGCAGGAATTTCCAAAGCCACAATATCGACACTCCAGCTCAAGAATAGCTGCCGTGGAAGGGTCTGACAAGGACAGTCGTATGCTTTGAAAACAAAGACGCGCAACGTTTCACGGCACGCTGGGGAAACACTGCAAATACGAAATCGGATTGTCGTCTCAGCTGTACGCGTGAACGGCCTGCTGGGGCCCTAAGCAAGGTTCTCATCTTCAATGTTTCCCCGTTCGACCGCCCATTCCGTTTCAGGCCCGCAGCTCCTCAGTGCATACAGCGCCCCCGAACCAAAAAACATTGGACACATTGGGGACTTATGGTGAGAACTAATCCGAAATCAAATGCATCCCAACCCCCCTTGATCTAAAGTGAACAGCTGTCTCATCTCGGGCCACACATCGGGCTTAGGGGCCCTATCAGGGGCGTTGTCTCTGACACCCCTCACGTGAAGTGCCGAAACCACTCACATCACCGCCATGTAAAGCTTCAATGTAAACACATCTCTGGCATAGGGCATGCATGGGCATACTGTCGTACTCGATGATTCTTCCGGGATCCATTCAGGTCTCCACCGCCAAACCCTGGCATGTCTTCCACTGGTTGTTGCTGTGTAAAGCTACAACTGCTGAGGTGAGAGGCAGGTCGGCTAGGTCCTCGCCAATTGTGTAACGGGCTCCGAGTGCTAGTCACTCGCAACTTCTGACGTTGGAACTTCATGGCCGTGAAATCGATGTCGCGCAACGCCTAACTATCAGACGAATCCCATTTACCTTCCCTCGCCGCCGTGCTAACCAGGAATGAACAAACGGGTTGCTGCGTGTGGCCAGCGGCCAGATCCTGCCGAACATTGCTTACTTCGAGGGTTGGTGACTCTTTGGCCGTACCGTAGCTTCTTTGAACACTGTCATTACGGCATTCCTCCGAACTCCCCCTGCAGAACTTTCATTTGTCGGCAGTGCAAACGGTCGTGGCGGCAAAAGAAGCGAGATGGATGGCACTGCATGAGGCACCACGAGGGTTTAAGAGGCCTTCGGATCCAATCTGCCCAGCCTTCGGGCTTCTACAAGTGCAGTCCTGCTCTATTACATCACCAACATGGGCGCCTGATGCTTCAGCCTCTCGCGGACAGGCCTTCACGCGGCCTGAAGAGCAACTGATCAAGGTTGCGTATCGATGCTCTCCACTGCACTTCCTGCGAGTTGAGTGGAGCCTCCGTCGCGCTCTGCCCTTGTGTCAGTTGCAGATGCCCCAGGCATCTCCACATGGTTTCCACGGAGATGGAGGAGCGGGTATGGAACTTCTGCTATTGTGCGGGCAGCAGACTCTCAGAGCAGCATTTCTGGCCCCATGACAAAGAATGGAGGCTCCCGAAAGTCTGTAGGAGACCTAAACTGCAACGGCAAAGTGAAACAAAGTGTCTTGCGCTCCTGTTCGCGCACTGCAGGGTCCAAAGCCAAACGGCCGCTACACGGCCGTCACAGAGTGGCACCCTCATCTTCCCTGACTTGGTCCCCGGCCTAGCACGCTGAAAAAGGCGCTTGAGAGTGGGCCGTGGCGTGGCGTGGGTGCGAGGAGTTAGGCTGCGGCGCAATCAACGATGGCACACAACTTTCTTCATATCTGAACAATTTGAGCTGACAGCTTGGCCATGGCAGTCACAGCTATTGAGAGCGCATGGCTGAGAAGGTTGCCCAAAAACGGTCAAACAGATTCGTGTCTTCAAAACAGCCCCTGGAACGATCTTGATGAGTACAAGATGTGAGTGGGCCACAAGTCGGCTACTTTCTAAGCTTGCTTCTCCAGATTCCATTGCTCTGTACATGCATATACGTGTTGGTGCTTCCCGTTCTGCTTTGGTTTGGCTGTCTGTTTGACTGCAAGTGCTTGGCTTACACATAGTGTGTGTATATATATAGTTATATACTTATATGTATACTAGCTAGTGAATACTATGCTGGTTGTATTCCGACCACACTCAATGGTATGATATGAGTGCTTATCATGGACGAACAAAAAACAGGAATGGTAAACGGTTTCTTAATCAGAAACGAACGAACAAGAAGAACAACAAGAAAAGAACAGGAAGAAGAAGAATCGGATCAAGAGAAAGTAAGACAAGAGCAAAAGTAAGTGCAACAGTAAGAGTACAAGTAAGAATGTTAATCTGAGTGACGATAATCATGCAGAAGGGTGCGCCGTGTTCGGTATACTTATTGCCGTTTATCGTGGTTTGGACGGCTTCTCGGATTTGAGACTCTTATTTGGTATGTTAAGTCTGTGTATGTAACAGAGTTTGATTTATTCGGTGCTTACTTCGTGTGTGCATGTCTCAAGGTATGGAATACGTATTTTGCTATCAATATGTTGATTGGATCCCGTCTTTTTTTGCTGCGAGAGTCAAAGAAGGGGCTTCAAAAATTTTGAGATTCAGGCCTCGAGCAATTCTCGGGCCGTTTTGCATTTGTGTTTGAATCCGTTTGCGTTTACATTTGTTGTTGCCATTATTGTTGTTCTTGTTGCTCTCGCTGCTGCTGCCCTTTTCTGCTCTTGTTGCTGTTCTTCTTCTTCTTCTTCTGCTGCTGCCCTTTTCTGCTCTTGTTGCTGTTCTTCTTCTCCTTGTTCTTTGATTCTTCTTCTTTTTCTTCTGATTCTTCTTCTCCTTCTCCATCTTCTTCTTCTTCTTCTTCTTCTTCTTCTTATTCTTCTTGTTCTTGTTTTTCTTCTTATTCTTATTCTTCTTCATCATTTGGTTCCTACCATCCCTCCCCCCGCCACGCCCCTGCCGTCCTCCGCACACCCAGACCTAAGTCTTTGTCTGATTTGAGCGACAGCCCCGTTAAAGTGCGATTTTCAAATAGTACTGTTTCAACTTTCCAAAACAATTGGATCTGCACATAATCCTCTACAGTACCCCCTCTTCTGTGCCCAAGACACACTGCGTGATGTCCAACACTCCATTGCGTGCTGCGACATATCAGCATGATCTTGAGGACCATTGACAGCGAAGCCAACTGATGCAGCTGGGCTGGGGTAAGCGGGCATCGCCAGGTGATCCCCTGGAAAACGGACTAGAATGCCTAGAACAACCTGCATCAGACCTACAGCGCCCAAACCTCCAGCCCAGCGCTACGCTCCAACACACTGCATCAGGCCGAGCAGATCCAAACATCGCCATCCGACCAAGTGATGGTCATTGGGTCGTCCACGGTAATGGTGCCTGTGCTTCAAGAGGGTCAGCCAAGGGCACAATGGCTGAAGGTCACCCCCAACTCGAAAGCAGGATGAAACGCGCACGCCCCTCCCATGCCTGAAAAGCTGTATGACTTGTCTTTGTCCCTGATGTTCATGACCTGGCTGTGGCGGATGAAAGGACAAGGAGTGCATCCAAAAATGGAGAGCAGGTTACACATGGTCACACTGCATGTCCTCGCGTGTCCTCGTGCTAGACTCGACATGACACCCCTTTGCAACGCAGCTGAGAAGAAACAATCGAATCCCGATAGCACGCTCCCCAAAGCTAGATCCTGAACAGTGAAACAACTTAGAAAAGCCACTGAGGCTGCGACTATCGCGGACGTGCCGTTTGAACTCAGCTTACTATTGGGGGACTTCCAGCTGGTCTCCTGCAATCCCACCGGGCGTCAAACGTAGACTCAGGGATCGCGCATCGTTGCATTCCGAATAATGTACTACACATACGGTACTGGACACGCCACATAACTCACATAACAGAATTGTAGCCATCTAGCAGGGCAACGGAAGGACCAAAAGAGTTGGAAGCATTACAACCTACATCATCCTGAGCAAACAACTCTTGACGTCTCGACATGGGAATGCAACTATAGAAGTACGGCACTTTTTCGAGCCTTTCTCTACTATCGCAAAACAATCGAAGAGCCCTCGTGGATAGATTACATTCATTGTATCAACCCTTATCGTATGCGACTGCCGGAGCAATCCCCATGTTGAGGGACATGCTGACACGGGGGCTTCTCATCTCCCAGAAAAAAGAAGGGGAGCTGCAAAAAGTGAGGCTGTACCTCCGACCAATAAACCTGTCTCGCTGCTCTGAAGCCCATGCATGTCGCAGCAATGAGCGGTGTCCCAAACGACTTCGGATTTTTCGATGCGTCCCTGAGATCACCAGGCTTTCTCACAAATTCAGAAGCTCGATGCAAAGCACCACCAACTGTAGACTAATTGACACTGGACGTCCAATCTGTTTGGGTCCCGCTCTATCCAAGAGTTGTCCGAGCAGCCATTGGATTCCCATCCGACTTGCGAACCCATTGGGTTCCTGAAAGGTGGTGTGAGGCCATCACGGCCGGAAACACATGGAACACACAACCGACCTACAATGAGGGGATCTTCATAGCTCTTCAACTCACACCTTCTGCTCCCGTGCCTTCCAACTTTTCCATCAAAGAGACGTCTGCGCCAGATTGAACCTTGCGATCTGATCAAATAAGACTCAAGCCGCAAGCCTTCAGAATCAACCAGATGGCTTCGATGCAGCTTCCAAGCAGTTTATACAGTAGGTCTGTAGCTTTGTCAAGGTGGGGGTTGTCCAAATCAAGCATTGAAGAACAATGCACACTTTGGCTTGGTTGCGGCATAAGCAAGCCTGAGAGCGCAAGCCAAAAAAACCACCGAACAGGGAAGCACGTCAAAAGCCAACAGCAATTATTGGCAACTAGTCTGCGCAGCCAAGCTGCCAGTGAGCTGTGTGCCTCCACGATGTCTTGAACCCGCACCTGCTTGGAGATAGCAACCTCAGAGATGGCTGGCATTGTATTGTGCTAACCTGCCACCTTAAACTTACGCGTACCTTGACAAACTTCGCCACATGCCTACCTTGACACCATGGAA